ATTATTCTTATTATTATCATTTCATGTACAATAAAAAGTATTACGAGGCAATAGAAATACTTTGTTTTACTAGGCTTCTTAAGTCTGTATTAAAGATAATCCTTAATTACTTACTGATAATCCGTGACCTATTTACAATGGAAACTTCATTTGTAACCTATCTTTCGTATTATAGAGCATAAATACACGTGTACGATATTATATAATACCGTATAAAGTTTGTAAACTCAAGATTAACCTAAACTTAAAATTAAGTATATAATATGTTGTGGGACACACAACATGGAGAAGCAATTTTCTACGAAGTTATAATGTCGTTACATCATGAAATGAGCATAAGAAAATATTATTCAACTCTTTTTTATCAATATATCGTGTTAAGATTGCTTGTTACGTAAATTGTTAATCCCTTGTGGCAGATTACAATTTAATTCTTATACCTTTTTTTTATTAATCCGTTGGGAGAGAATAATTTCGTAGTCGTAGAAATATTTGAATTGATTTGTTAAAAAAGAAAAAAAAAAATGAATCAACTTATTGACTGACATAACTGTATTTAATCAATGAAATATTATTTTTTGCTTTATCAGATTGCCATATGTTCAATATGCAAAAGAATAAGTACAACGAAGTGTTCTGTTTATAAGACAGAATCGTGTTAGAATAACTCAATCGTGAATTTAAATCGAAGATCCGTACAGTTATGAAATACTTATTTATAACTGTTACTGTGTTTCTTAATATTTCTTTCAGAGTTTTTGTTAGAATAAATATTTTTATTTATTTTTCAATATCCAAAATAATAGATAAGATTTTCTTGTACAAATAAAAATAAAAAGTTCAGCCATTTATTTATAAGTTTTGAAAGTCAAATTTTACTTCGATTATTTCTTCTATTGAATACCGTGTATCTTTATTAATATTTTTAATATTAGAATTTAAATTTTAATTGCCTTTTAATTGCAAATTTAACTCTAAAGCATAAAGGATATAAATGTTCTAGCTTGCACGAATTTTTATTTTTTAACTTTATTTTTAAACTTCTTCGTGTATCTGAATACTTGCAAAAAATTTTCAAATTCATTTTTTTATATTTTTAATAATTCAATATTATATATTTTTAGCATTTTGTTCCAATAATTAACATTTACATTTCAATGTCATTATATATTCTTCATATATGAAGAACGTATCCAATGTTAATTTCGAATTTTAATTCCATTATCATGGTAAGAAAATTAGTAATTACATCGTTAAAAGAGACTATATTGTACAATTTAGATAATAGAATGTTCGATTACTAGAACGGATATTAAGTCGAGTCCCCACTGCATCAGTATTTATTGTAATCAACAAAGCTATTCAATAGATCCAAACAACTAGATTAAACCCTAATGTACACGAGCGATGTTTTTTCGTTGAGATATCGTAGCAATATCATCGATTATATGTCTATTTTCATTTTTTATTTAAGAAAATGGAGAAAAACGAGGAAAAACATCGACGATCGCAACGACATCGCGCGGTAAAAAATCATTTATCCCTATTTTGCCTTATATTCGAGTCACATGAAAACCGATCGATTTACCGACTGACGTTAATAAAAATTAATGATCAAAATCAAATTTTCTTTTGATATTCGATAAATATTCTGAAATTCTGCGAATTCGTGATCGACAATAATTAGATTTTGCTATTGAACCGTTGAATTTGATTACTGAAAATAGGGATATATCACAAACGATTGGTTAAATTGTTCGACCAATCAGTGTCGATTAAGAGATATCAACGCGATATGGGGACGCGGCTTTAGAATATTTGAGTGATAGATATATTCGCATCCACTTGTCTTTGTTAAATAAATTACATGAGCTTGTTAAATAAATTTAAACAAGAAGCGTAATTAAATATCTTATTAGAGAAGGATAGAGGATTAAACTCGAATGTCAAAGAGGCAAAACAAATTGGAAATCGTTGGCATAATAAAAATGTTTTCAAGCCGAAGATTCTTCATGGATTTGACGGAAGCCTCTGTCGTATTTGCGAAATTGGATTAGCTATGTCGAACAAGAAGCCTTGTTTCTAAGCTGAGCTGGCTCGAGCGACCAAGTCATTGGAAATTGGATTGATCGATTCGCAAAGAAATCACTGCGTCAATCTAGCCACATGTGTACCAGGAAATAAATGATGGGCTTCCCGTGATCGAACAATCGAAGATTGTTCGAACGATCGATAAACATTGAGCCACGTGAATGTCAACGTTTGTACAAGAGTGTGAGAAATCCATTTAAAGCCATTAATTCTTGCGATCTTTTATTATGCAACGCGGTTACAAATCAAACGGATACATCGTTTACATACTTGGAATTCGTTAGGGTGCAATCGATACGACGTAATTCCTCTTTTAATCTCTACGCTCCTCTCATGCGAGTTTAATCTTTTAAGAAACCTTTCTCCATGTTTAAGCTTGTCAGTGAGATTAAATTCTCTTCTAGTTTTTCTTTCCGTAGAAAATCTCCAGATATTTTACATGTGAAGTGAAATAAAATGTACAAACTATATATAATAATATAATATATAATAACATAATAATATAATAAAATAAAATATAATATAATATATAATAATAAGTTCAATCAAAGAAAATTAGAAAATTTGCGAATCTTTAAAGCGATCGAATTTTCTTTTCCATTTTTTTATTTCACTCCATTCAGTTTAATTGCAATTCATCAGTTCAATTAATATTTCAATATACAAATTTTAAAAATATATTATCTTATTATCGTTCGAACATCTCTCAGATACGCATCTTTAAGATATTGAAAATTCGCGTCACCTTTATCTTAAAATCAATCGGCCATTTTGTTTTTTTTTGCTTCTTACATCGTCGTACATCATTTGAGAACCACTATTATTCGAGGTGATCGAACTCGACGATGGCAATGGAGCGTTTATGTCACGAAGAAGAAAAAGAAGAAAAAAGAAGAAGAAGAAGGGGGGAGGAAGGGAGGAAGAAGAGGTGGC